AGGGACTGGGATGCTGGGAAAAGGGGGGGCTGGGCTTCTCAAGTTGGTGAGGAGGGGCCCAAAAAGGACCAGAGGTTCGGACTAGATATTTCAGTGTTTCAACAAGGGTCTGTAAAGCGGAGGGAGCAGAGATGTCAGCCCGACACCTCCGTGTGCGCCCCCCCCCCATCCCACCCCTCTGGAATCCAACAATCAAGGACCAAGTGAAGTCTTGGAAGGGGGGTAGGGGCTACTCGGGAAGCAGGAAGGAGAGTTGGAAAGCTGTGGTCAGCCCCTCAAACCACTGCATGGGAGAGAAAAGAAGACAGATGCTCTAGGAACAGAGATAAGGAAGGCGTTGTTGTGGGCTGTGTTGTTGGGGGCCCCCACCCTGGGAGGGTCCTACCAGCATCAAGGTGGGAGGATGAAGTCATTCCTGGGGGCAGAGTCAAAGGAGATCCAGGGACAGGTGCAAGGGGACACAGCCCGGAGGAGCTTCCTAGGACCCTGGGGTGTAATTCATAGCGCTGGGAGGGTCTCTGAGGAAGGAGACGGCTGGTGTCGAGGTACCAGCTTCAAGAAACATGCTGGACCAGAGGATGGTGAACCAGCCTAGGGAGACATGCTAGGGAGGGGTCCCAGGCTCAAGTGCGGAGGGAGGAGCTGCTTAAGGGGGAATTTTAGCCTTGGGGTTGCAACATTGCTGTTCTGAAGGGGTCCCAGTCCCTGGGCAGCATAATGGAGTGGTACCAACTCCTAGGAGGAGGGCCTGCCAACAAGAGTGACATCCTGAAAGGCACGCGGGGGTCTCCATCTCTAGGCATGGTCCAGGTTACTGGGGGGCGGGGGCACGCTCTGAGAGGTATAGTTGGGGGGGGGGGAGGGTTGGGTGCCGGTCTCGAAAAGTACAGACGATTCTAGAAAGACAATTCTGAGACGCCAAAAGGGTTCTAGCTCCAAGGAGCTCAGTAGGGGGTCCCCAAATTCAGGAAGTGCACTGCGGTTGGGCGGCCTCAGAATCTAGGGCGGGCTACGGATCCTGGGAGACGACGTGAAGGAGGTCCCAGCCTGGCGAAGAGATACAGCCCCAAGGAAACTGTGCGTTGGAAGGCAGGTAGGGGGGCCCAACTTCAGTTGAGGTGCGTAGTAGTAACCTGGATTCCAGGCTGGAGGCGGGCCCCAGTCTAGAAAACGTGTTCTGGAAGCACATTGAGAGTCCCAGCCCCCGGAGAGATCCGCTGGGAACTCTCAATGCGAAGGGGTCGCCGCTCCCGCCGGCCCGCGGTCCCTCACCTTCGAAGAAGCGCTGCAGCGCCTCGGTCTCGTCCACCACCTCCATGTCCGGCCTGCCCGGTGCGCACTCCGCCCGGCCCCGCTACAGCCCGGCCCGGGGGCGCGGCACCGCCGGCGCTGCCCGCGCGACAGTCCCAGCTCCGCTCCAGCTGCGGTCCCGCCCGGCCTGCCGCTGCGCTCGCCCCCCGTGCGGTCCTGGCCCGGCCCCTACCCGCCCCATGCGCCCCGCCCGCCGCGCCGCGCGCCCCCTGCCGGTCCACCCGCGCCGCAGCCCTGCCGCGGGCAAGACACATGCGTCTCCTCCAGGGGGCGCTTGGCTCGGGTTGGGGGCCCGGCGGGTCACCGGGTCGGTGAGAGGCGAGTGTTTGGGCAGACTGGGCTAGGTGGCATTGGCTGAGGCTGGGGTCCTTGCCTGTTGCCCAAAAACGGAAGGCAGGATTCTGAACTTAGATTTCAGACCTAAACTTACCTTGTTGCTGTTAAGTACCTTGTACAGGGTTTCAAAAACACTGGACCACAAGGTCGGTTTGAACCACAAGGTCTGCAGTTCAAACTCAACAGCCCCTCCTTGGAAACTATACAGTGTGACTATGAGTCAGGAGCAACTCGAGGTCACTTAACAACAACATAGGGTTTCTGAGGAATGGCTGGTGAGTTTGAACTGCCGACCTTGTGGTTCAAGCCGATCTTGCAGTCCATTGCTTTGTCCCTTCGCGCCACACCAGGACTCCTCAGAGACACCCCCAATTCCTGGGTAACCTGCCCTATCTCAGCAATAGTAACACCTGCATTTAATGCATTTACTTTCTTGTGTTCCATGTCTTCACTAAGCCCTTTACCTGCCTTATCTCATTAGTCCACACAGCTACTCAGCCAAGATTATTTGTATTTTATAAATGAGGAAAACGAAGCTCTTTGACACTAAGCTATTGTCTGAGGAAGTGCTCTGTTGTAGAATGTTCTGGGATGATCCAAGTGTTCTGTGTTGTCTGATTTGGTAGTGGTTACGAATAGGGCTGCGAACCTTAAGGTCAGCGGTTCGAAACTACCAGCTGTTCCGCGGGAGAAAGATGAGGCTTTCTACTCCCATAAGGATTTACACCCTCGGAAACCCTGTACAGGGTCGCTATGGGTCGGAACCAACTCAACGGCACTTAACAACAACAACAACAAGCCAACGGTGGCTCTTGCTCTTGTTGTTAGGTGCCGTTGAGTCGGTACTGATCCATAGTGACCCTGTTGTTGTATACCGTGGAGTCGGTTCCGACTCACAGCGACTCTGTACAGGGTTTCTGAGGCTGTAAATCTTTATGGGAGCAGAAAGCCTCATCTTTCTCCCGCAGAACGGCTGGTAGTTTCGAACTGCTGACCTTGCTGTTCACAGCCCGATTCGTAACCCTATGCACAACAAAATGAAACAATGCCCAGTCCTGTGCCATCCTCACAATTGTTGTTATACTTGAGCCCATTGCTGCTGCCACTGTGCCAATCCGTCTCCGAACCAGCGATGCAGTCCCTCAACTTGAAGCCTTTGGGGACTCTCAGATATAGCAGAGCTGGATAAACCTACCCCACTCTGCTCTACCTGTTTCACAGATGCCAAAACTGAGGTCCAGACAAGGGGTGGCGGGGTCTAGTCTAAGCTGACAGATTAAGACGTCAAGCCAGACACGAACAGAATTAAACACTGCGCCATCTTCACAACTGTGGCTATTGAACCCTTGAAATGCGGTTTTTGAGATTTGTTGTTGTTAAGTACCGTGGAGTCGGTTCCGACTCATAGTGACCCTGCATAGGGTTTCTGAGGCTGTAAATCTTTACAGGAGCAGAACGCCTCCTCTTTCTCCCATGGAACCGCTGGTAGTTTTGAACTGCCGAACTTAAGGTTAGCAGCCTGATTCGTAACCACTACGCTACCAGAGCTTAGGAACTGATTTTTCCATTTCTGTTGTTGTTCGTGCTCTTGAGTCAGTTCCGAGTCATCGCGACCTTATGAACAACAGAATGAAACCACTGCCCGGTCAAACTTGAGCCCATTGGTACTGGCAGTGTGTAGGCTTTCCTCTTTTTCGCTGACCCTTCGCTTTACCTAGCATGACGTCTCCAGGGACGTTTGTTGGTGTTAAGTGCTGTTGAGTCGGTTCTGACTCATGTTGTTGTTGTTATGTGCCATCGAGTCGGTTCCGACCCATAGCGACCCTGTATAGGGTTTCCGAGGGTGTAAATCTTTACGGGAGTAGAAAGCCTCATCTTTCTCCCGCGGAGCAGCTGGTAGTTTCGAACCGCTGACCTTAAGGTTCGCAGCCCGATTCGTAACCACTACGCTACCAGAGCTCCTAGCTACCCTGTTTTTGAGGAGGTGCTGGTGAGTTTGAATGGCCAACCTTGCAATTCAAACGACTTTGTGTCCAGTGCTTATTTTAATAAGTTTAAGTTTTATATTTAAATAACTACTGCATAAGACAGAGTCCTGGTGTGGCACTGCGGGTTAATGCAAGGTCGTTTGAACCGCAAGGTCGGCGGTTCAAGCTTACCAGCTACTCCTTGGAAACCCTATACAGGGTCGCTATGAGTCAGAACCGACTCGACGTCACTAAACAACAACAACCATCTAAAAGAGCACAGATCTAAAGATTCCATTAGAGTTAAAGCAGTGTTCAGAATAAGAGTTGTGACTGACGCTTAAATCCACACTTTCCATCCCAGCTTCCCTGTCTGGGGCAATAGCTCTGAGAGGAAGGCTGCCCAAAGGGGATGGGCAGTGAAATTGGACCCCCAGAGGCTTGCTGACTGCTCCCATCTCCAGCACCCTTCTAACAACTGCCAGCCATGGGGGAGGGGTGGCGGCACCCCAGCCCCAGATGTGACCCGGTCAGCAGGCCCACGGTGGCCTGCTGAGGAGGGTCAATGCCACGACAGTTCTGGGGCTGGGGGAGGGGGCGCCCAGGCCTGCGGCCACCTCACAATGAGGTTTTGTTCCTCTGGGGGCCGTTTTCCCGAGAGCTGCTGCTCCTAGATGTAGAGAATGGGTTTTGCTGGAGACCCCAGCTGTGCTGTGTGAGCTCCCCCCTTGGGCCAGGCTGAGCAGGGGGGGAGAGGGGCCACACTGAGACGCCTATTCTTTCCCGGCTGCAACACCCCAGAGGTTTTTCTCCCCTTGCAGACTCCCCTAAGACAATTGTTATTCTCTGCTCTGCCCCCTCCCCCAGCAGGCCAGGCCTGCCTGTGGACAGAGTGGACACCCGCCTACGCCTACGCCCACGTTGGGTGGTTTTTCAAAATTCATTTCAGAGTTGCCCAGGACCAGCTGGGAAACAAGTTTCTTTAGAATCCTCCACCCACCTCCCAGCTCTTTCCTCCATTTCTCACCATGGTGCCTTGAGTGGGTGGAGCTGTCTGTGTCTCCCCAAAAGATATGTTCAAGTCCTAACCCTGGGCACCTGTACATGTGATAGTGTTGGGGAAAAAGGGTCTTTGTAGATGTGACCAAGTTAAGGTCAGACTGGATTCGGGTGGGTTCTAATCCAATCGATCAACAAACCAACCAGTTGCTGTTGAGGTGATACCATAAAGTCTTCATTGGTTGAGGTGATACCATAAAGTCTTCATTGGCTGAGGTGATACCATAAAGTCTTTACTGATTGACTTTTCAGAAGTAGAACGCCAGGACTTTCTTTTGAAGCGCCTCTCAGTACTCAAACCACCAACTTTTCAGTGAGTTTTCACGGTCAGCAGTTGGAAACTACCAGCTGTTCCGTGGGAGAAAGATGAGACTTTCTGCTCCTGTAAAGATTTACAGCCTCGGAAACCCTGTACAGGGTCGCTATGAGTCAGAACCGACTCCAAGGCACATAACAACAACAACAAGTGAGCACGCTAAGGATTTCCACCCCTCAAAAAAAGGAAACAATGAGAACCAAACCCATTGCGGTTTGGTGGATTCTGACTCGTAACGACATTATACGTCGAACTGAGTCCTGGTGTGACACTGTGGGTTAATATGTTGGATTACAAGGTCGTTTGAACCACATTGTCCGCGGTTCAAACTCACCAGCCACTTCCCGGAATCCCTCCACAGGGTAGGAACCGACTTAATGGCATTTAACAATTGTTTACCAAGGAGTCTTAGTGTGGTGTTGTGAGTTAATGCGCTGGACTGCAAAGTCCGTTTGAGCCACAGGTTGGTGGTTCAAGCTCACCAGCTGCTCCTTGGAAACCCTATAGAGGGTTGAACCAACTCGACAGCACTTAACAACAAGAACCCTAGAGTAGAACTGCCCCAGGGTAGAACTGCCCCAGATTTGAACTGTCCATAGGGTAGAACTGTCCACAAGGTGAAACTGCCCTAGAGTAGACTGCCCCAGTGTAGGACTACCCCAGAGTAAAACTGTCCACATGGAAGAACTGCCCCACAGTAGAACTGACCATGATGTGTTGTTGTTGTATACTGACAAGTCACACCATACGACCTATTGTTGTTGTTGTTAAGTGCCATTGAGTCGATTCTAACCCATGGCGACCCTGTAGAGGGTTTCCAAGGAGCAGCTTGGTGAGCTTGAACCACCGACCTTGCAGTTCCAACGACTTTGCAACCTGATGCATTAGCCCACAGCGCCACACCAGGACTCCATACAACCCACAGTGACTCTGTATCCAACAAACAGGGTCCTGGGCCATCCTCACAATTGTTGCTGCTAATGTGCCAATCCATCTCATTGAGGGGTCTTCCTCCTTTACACTGACCCTCTACTTTACCAAGCATGATGTCCTTCTCTAGGACTGGTCCCCCTGATAATAAGTCCAAAGTACGAGAGATGAACTCTGGCCATCCTGGTTTCTAAGATGTATTGATCATTGCTGCTGATGGGAATACAAAGGTTAGAAACAAAGAGGAAGGATCAGTGGTTGGAAAATATGGCTTTAGTGATAGAAATGACGCTTCTTCGTCTATGTACATGTTCCTCATAAGCACAATTAAGTGTACTGGAGTACTCATCCTCAGTGTTTTCCATAACTTGTCATGATCCACACAGTTGAAAGTCTTTGTATAGCCAATAAAGCACAAGTAAATATCTTTCTAGTGTTCTTTGCTTTCAGCCAAGATCCATATGACGTCAGCAATGATATCCCTCTTTCCAGGTCCTTATCGGAATCTGGCTTGAACCTCTGGCACTTTCCTGTCAATGGACTGCTGCAGCCGTTTTTGAATGATCTTTAGCGAAATTTTACTTGCATGTGATTTGTTGTTGTTGTTGTTATGTGCTGTGGAGTCGGTTCCAACTCATAACGACCC